TATCTAGAGGTTTTCATACCCGTAGAATTCAATAAAAGCATTTTCAAATCTATATGACGTCATTTGTGTACTGCTTTCTGATTGGACGATGTCAGTTTTCATTGTAACACCAAAACAAGTTCATATTGCAATGGTTTTAAAAAAAAATGTTTAAGGGGGTTTGGGACAAAAGAACTTCTGTGGGAAACTTTTTTATATTTTCCATGACGTCATGTGCCTCATCTATTTCGAATTTCTGGATCTGCCAATGTTGTTATTATTGATTATGTGAACTTTTTTTATTTGTATTGTCTTGAACATTATTTAGGTGATAAATTGCTACAAGTTATCGACTTTTCCATCCCCTCAACGCCAACTATTGAGCCTATTTACCAAACTTCCATTCCGGGCGATGGCAAACACGTTGAATTGTGCAATGACTTTGTAGCAGTTGCTATGGGCAGCGCCAGTAATTCTGTGTCTCCGGGAACTGTCTCTATATTTGGAACTTATAAAAATGGTGTTATAGACAAGTTTCAAGATATAAAAGGTTTGCTATTAATTACGTCACTGGCTGCATAATGACGCGCAGATATAATTTATTGCACGATGGGCGTATGAATGATCAAGGGGTGTCGGGGGGGGGGGGGGGGGGCGGAATTAGCAGGCTTTAGCAGTAAAAGTTGTAATATATTAAAACTTTTATTAAGCTATCTGCAGTAAAAGTTGTAATATATTAAAACTTTTATTAAGCTATCTGAAAATTTTAGATTATCAACCACAACCTCGCAATGAGACCATACTCACATGATGGGGTTGAGGGGGTACGGTGTTGATTCAAACCATATCATATGTACAATTTTTGATAAAAATTATGAATCAACCCCTGGTTCAAAAAAGTTTTTTTTTTTTTTTTTTTTTTTCGGATTCTACACTTATGTTCTCTTTACAGTTGGCGCCGAACCTGGAATGATAAAGTTTACTAATGACTGCCGTACATTGCTCGTGGCTAACGAAGGAAGTGCCGCTGAAAGTGACGATGGTACAAATGTTATAGATCCAGAGGGCAGTATAACAATTCTCCGTTTTCCTGGGAACGACCTTTCACAGACACCAAATAAAATAACGGTCAATTTCAATGAATTCGATTCAAGGTAAGTGTTCGAGGTTAAATAAATAAAAACCACGAGAATTTTACTTAGGGATACAAAATTAATCTAATAAAAAAATAGTACATGGTCTAAAATTACCTTATAATAAATAAAAGCAGGTGCGTAACCAGGGTAAAATTTGAGGGAAAATTGGCGTTATTTTACTTTTGTGTTATTTTCTTGATAAAAGATAGAATTGAGAGGTTTCACCATGTTAATTTTTTATAAACCTCTAACAAAAAATCAGCCTTCAATGTGCACAAAAGAAAATAAATTTGGTTTGAGATTTCACTCTCACCAACAAAGGGTAATCATTTTAAAATCATAACCTCCGATGAAGACCTTAGGCATAGCAGGCATGTAGTTTTATTAGTTACTGCAAGCATTTTCTTGGACGTGCAAAAGCGTATGCCTACAGTATAGGCCTATACCTTATTATTGCTTTTATTAGTGTTGCTTAAGCCTATAATATTAGTCTAACTGTGCACCATCTCTGCTTTTAATGTTCGGTTCCAATTAGATTAAGTGCAACTGAATTGCACTGAAGCCTAATTGAATTGTATTTTAAATGTAATCGATTGCACTTAAGTTTAATGTATTACAGTTAAGTGGAATGTATTACATTTTAGTGGAATGTAGGCCTATTCAACTTAAGTGCAAGTGAATTCCATTTAAGTTATTTACATTCCACTCAACTGTAATATAGAAATATAGATAAACTTCTTTCTATACGGTGGGTTACGGGAGGTGTTGTCTTACGAGAGAGTTAAGAGAGGTTGTCGCACAAGAAGGTTAAACTGTAATATAAAGAGTTAATGTACACTCCTCACTCATTATACCAAACAATACTGTAATACATTACAGTTTGTTGCATTGCTACCTCGCGTAACCATGATTGTAACAAAACGTTTTTCTTTCTTTTTTTTATTTTATTTTGCCTTTAATTATTACTGTACTGTATGCACAGCATTCCAGATTTATAAATGACACAAATATAAATCGCTATTACTGAATAAGTAATGATCATTACTTTTTTTCTATTTTCACATTTAAACAGGAGTTCTGAATACGAGTCTAAGGGCGTTCGCATTCCATACAAGGGCAGCCTGGGTACGGGTTCGAGTGCCAGCACGTTTTCTCAGAGCATGGAACCTGAATACATAACTCTAAATTCAGATGAGAGTCTAGCCTACGTAACACTACAGGTACTCAGGTGTCTAAATGGAAAAGAAGAGTAGATGTGTCAAGGATAGTGGCCGAGAGGATGTCTAAAGAGGGCCAATTAAAAATTAAAATTTTCCCTTTCTATCTGGGCCCATGGGGACCCGTGGCAGCAGAAGCTAGTAGCGCCAGTGGCAGGGGCGCGAGGGGTGGGTAGATCTCTCGCCGGTGCGAGCTGTCCCATCCACTTCCCCGGTCGGGGAGAAAAACCCCAATTCGTCGGGGAGAAAAAAAAAACAATACAGGTACCTGTATTTTCTACATATAAGATCACTCAATTTTGCTCTCGTCCGGGATATCCCCCACCCCCAACCCAATCTAGGTCCCGAACCCCGTCCTGGCGCCACCCCTGGCCAATGCCGATATTTTAACTTAACATTATTCTTCCTTTACCTCACTCTTATGCGAGGGTTTAGTTATTCCAGAATTCAGATTTCAATATTAGGCTAGGCAATCAAGCATTTGAAATTAAATTGCAAACAAAAGTGTTTTTTTTTAAATCAAATACACGTCGGGAACATATGCAAATTAGCTAGAATCATTTTAGGTCGAAAATATAGGGTTCCCATCCTGGCAACTGCTGGTCGTAGAGACTTACTTTCTTTTTCAACTTTTCAAATTAATCGGAATATGCATGTTTCTATTTGTTCTAATGAAATAAATGCCCACAAAATGACTGGAAATGCTACAATTGACCAAAATATTCACTAAATTTGCATCTGAGGCTACTGTACATATAATTACGGTTACTGTTGTTGATATCGCTGTTGATGCTTTTGATTACATTTATACTATTAATGCATATTATTACTATTTTGTTATTGTTACTACAATGTTATTGTCATTGTGCCATTGTTATTCAAATTGTAATCAATCATTATCATATCATTATTGTTTTTTTTTGTTTTTGTTTTTGTTTTTTTTAAAATACCTATACGCCTTAGGAAAACAACGCAATAGCTGTGGTTAACATAGGACAAGGAGAGGTTACTGAAATATATCCACTAGGACAGAAGGATTGGAGCCAACTGTTGTTTGATTCTAGTGACACGGATTCAGGTAAGTTTGATGTGAATCTAGTGTGTTTGTATGAGAAAACTATTCTTCAATGAGTGCGAGTGTTGCCAAGTAGATTGTGCGGTGTGTACAGTACATTGCAAGGCGTGTGAAAGGGGACTTTCCCCACTCCACAAGTTAGTAACATATGATTAAAATAATACCATGGTTTCATACATACACATTACGATAAAAGCTCCTGTTGTATTCATTTTTATATTCGATTTTCATAATTTCTTTTTATAGTGTAGATGTTATATAATTTTGGAAGTGGTTAAAATGAAACAAGCCTATTAATAACACAATAATGGAAACAGTTGATCATGTTTAGATGTATAGAACTATGCCTTTACTGTCACCACAATATAAATTTGTTAAGCCCCTTAAAGTGATGGACATTCAATTTCATAAAGTAAGAAAGTGCTATTCCCGGATTCTAGAGGAGAATGTTTTTGGGGATGTTATTTTTCTTTCTACATTTGCTAGCCTCATGTTTATGGAAACTATTCCCCGCTAACTTTAAATCCGGATATTTTCCCAACTTTTTGGGGGTTGAGGTTTTTGCAAACTGCAATACAGTGATATTAAATGTCCTGTTAATATTCTTGGACCCCATTGGTAATAAGTTGTTTCTTTTCATCTTTATGGGTTATCCTAGTTTCTTATGTTTTCTTACTTGTATCTTACTTGTATTCTTGGGCCATCGTGAAGCAAAAATGTTTATACTGCCCACTTTTCTTCAGGGGGTTATAACCCCTTCGTGTTGCGCAAACTTTGCTGGGTACCGATCCTGTCCGTGTGTAGGCCTAAAGTCTATAGCTTATTTCATTTAATTCTATACCTTTTATAGAGGTGGCAGAAAACTAAAACACTATCAAAATTTTCATGAGACCTTAAGTAAATTTAAATTAAAAGTCTAAGTCTATTAGGACGCGTGCGTGTATTCTTAAGCAGCACCACCGGTCGAGTTTTTTTTTTAAATTCAATTTTTTTTGTACTTTTCTCTGTATTGTACTACTGTATATTAAAAACTGAATAAAATAAAATCAAGTATTTATTATTACTGTTACAACAACTTCTTATAATTTATATAGAGATAAATCTTCGGTCATGGCCTGTTTCTAGCCTGTATCAACCGGACGTTGTTATATATTTTAAACTCAATGGAGAAGGATATTTGGCCATGGTTAATGAAGGAAAAATGCTAGATTACGAGACATCAAATGGTGAAACCTGGACCGAGTCTGCACGTGGCTCCGAAATAATATCAGGTAGGCCTACATTAGTTAACCTAGATCGGCCTAATAATGTTTATTTATGGCTACGACTCCAGCGTATTGCATTGGGGTCCATGCTAGCATTTGTCGAATGCCCGTTTGCCAAGACCACTAATTTGCGGACTCAAAAACCATGAATCCCAGTTTGCCGAAAAACCCATTGCCGAATGTCAATAAAAAGCAGCGAAACATTAACAACAGCATTAATTAAATTCACGATGGAGCACTCTCTTACCATGACTGCATATGTATGAAGTGGTGGCGCCAGTGGATAGTCAGGATCAAAGGCAGACCAGAATTGCGACGACTTTTGAGAATTTAGAAGCCTTTCCAACGCGATGCGATCACTGTGTATGTTCGTATAATAAAAGCAGCTTATTGTAATTTAATAATTCTTTTTGTCTTATTCTGTAAATTAACAATTCGGCTATCAGCAAAAAAAATAATGAAACAGCCGGCCTATCAGATAAAATGTGTTATATAGCATATTTATAATAAATACATAAAGTTTATTCAAGATAATTATGTAGACCTAAAGGAAATAAATAAATTAACAATTAACAACTATTATACACACATGCCAGTGGTGGCTCCAGTAATCTGCCGACAGGGAGTCCAACATGTCCGACAGAGGGTACGAATACCTGGGGCCGACTAGAGCATTGGTCAGGGTCCAGGCATTAAATTCTCTGGTAGGGTTCGCGGGAAGAGCTTTTTTTTTGTGCTTTTAGACCACAATATTAGGGATTGACAAACAGCATAACGTTATTTGGATAGGCAAATTATTATTTTTGATCCGACGATCTCCTCGTGGCGTCGGACGACTGAGGGAATGGGGGAGACGATGCTTATCCTTCATTTAATTATATTTTAAATAAAAGCAGTGACTTCAAGTGTTTTTCCACAACATTGTTGTTTTCCAATATTTTACCTTATAATTTATATAAATACGGCTCCTCACTGACCCACCCATCATGTTTTTAAAAGCACAGTATACTTCTGTACGACGGTGATGGCAAGATTCGGCAAACTGGGTTGTCATGATTTTTGTGAATTGGATTTGGCAATCTGGGTTTCGGCAAAGTGGGCATGAACTCGGCAAACTGAGTTTCGGCAAACTGGGTTTCGACAAACTGGCCGGACAAACAAAAAAAATAAATCCGGATCGCTTCTTGATCTAGATGTGTGCACGAGTCTAAACCAGACAGTGATCAAGTCGATGAACTACACAAATAATTGTTGTGCTATTAATTTATATTTGGTATCTCTCCAATTATGAAGCTACAATAAAATCTGAAACAATTAAAAAAATTAAAAAGATGACAGTCGTTTGTTCTACTAATGACACCAAGTTTGTGATCTTTAGGAGAGGCCAGGCCTAAAGACACAGTTTTCCTATTTACCATTATTCCTGTAGGCCTATATACATAAAATGATAAGCTTACTAATATAAAACGAAATTTAGTATATTTACTACGTTTAAGTAATTTCTAATTAGGATACATTGATATCAACGTGTTATACATATATTTCAGATAATCTCTTAGCAGACAACGTATCGTCGAATCTGCAACAAGCTTTATCTGATAACAACAAACTGGGTGAGTGTTTTCCTAATTCTATTGATTAGTTCGTCAACTTTAAATTGCATTTGACTCTTAGTATGATTTCTTTTGACGACTTCTTCCCGTTTTGCCCTTTTCCCTCTATTGCCAAGCTAATAATGATGTCGATGATAATTATATAATTATTAAAATTATGGTAACGGTGGCAGTGGTTTTGTCCTAAATTTTGCATTGTCATTGATGTTGCTGCTGTTTAATATTTTCCTCAGTGTACCTTATAAGGTGTAGCCTTAGATACAATTGGTGCTACTAATTAAAGTATCTTTGAATATTTTACCATTTTTATCATTGATATAATTTGATGGAATTTTATTTAGGACGTCTCCAATTTAGCAAGGTCGATGGACTAAATGATTTGGGTAAAATTGAAAAACTTCATTTCTATGGCGGACGAGGTTGGTCGATCATGCGAGTCAAGGACATGAGCCAGGTGTACGATAGTGGTGATGAGCTTGAAAGAAAACACGCTGAATTTTTAGAAACGGTCTTCAATGCAGAATCAACACCCGATTCAGAAATGCAGACACCTTCACAGCTTAAAGATCAGAAATCGGATGATTTGGTAAATTTAGAAATCTGATTTTTGCGAACAGATAGAAAAAAGTCCCAATTTGATGGAGGGGTGTGTACTTCTTGGCTGTAATTTAATCCGCAATATACCTCTAAGTCTGTGGAAAGTTCCGCTTTCCCCGTTGTTGAATGCTAGAGAGCGGTCAGGTCCCAGGCCCACTGGACGCATTGTTATATGCATAGTTATATGCATATATTGATGCATAGTTATATGCATATATTATTGTAAAGAAGCCACCGACACCTAACAATACAAAAACAAAATGTTGATACGGTATAGCCAAGTTGATTATATTTAAACAAAATATTAAAAATGTTTATTATACCATAACTATTATTTTAAAGGGTCCCGAGTGTGAATCTCTCGCCATCGGTGATGTTGATGGTAAAAAGTTATTTTTTATTGGCGTCGAAGGTCCTTCTAGTATTGTTACCTACAGCATGGGTTCCAGTCTTCAACCTCAATTTGAGTCCATCTATAGAGCAGGCGGAGTCAATGCAAGTTTCAAATCCATTTACGAGAGTCGAACTTCTGGTGATCTAGAACCTGAAGACTTACGGTTTGTATTCTGTTCGTCATTGTCATGTGTACTTTACTAGACCTAATATTTATTATACTAATTAACAAATGCAAATTAATTACTATGGTGTAGGTACTACCGTATGCCTACAATTGTGCTACCGGTAGACTATTACATCGACCACCATCGACTCCGCCATCACATCACTACCACTGGGCACTGCAGCAACAGTGGATAAGTAATACAGACGGTGGCGGTGACGACGGCGGCAATGACCACTATTTCCGCCACCGCCGCCTACAACTACCACCATCATCACCATGCGCTCCACTACCACTTTACGAATGACAACATCGATCTCTGTCACCGTGGTGGTTGTTATTAGAGTATAGTATTATATTTCCATATCTACAAAAATAACGTTGTTGTTATTTTTAAACCAGATTCATTCAGTCTGACGATAGTCCAACAGGGAAGCCGTTGCTATTGGTTACTGGAACAGCCAGTGGGACTGTGTCTCTTTATGAAATAGTCAACGAAGGTAGGTATATAGCATACCACAGATATTTTACATTACCCAGTTTGATATCACTATCATTAACCGTTGTATATACAAATTATGCAGCGCTAACAGGCATGCAAGTACAGTAAGTGAACCTAAAAGTTGTTCCGAGACCCGATTTATTTTCATTACAACGATCCACGACAATGATGAAGGAATACATTTTTTTTTGCAACCTTAAAGCGAAATATGACTATAATTCAGTACTGTAATGTTTAATCTGGAGTGTATATATATATATATATATATATATATGAAAGTGTTTAGTTTAAAGCCGATTATACAGCACTTGACATGTTCTTGCTAATGAACTTGTTTTTAGCTTGTAGCATGCGACAGTCTAAATAATAGCTTAGATAGTTACGCATATAAGCCTATAATGACAATGATGATGATAATGATGCTGATGATGTTAATGATAGACTGCTGATACTGCTGCTGATGATGCTGCTGCTACTAATGCTTCTGCTGCTGCTGATGATGATGCTGCTGCTACTAATGCTTCTGATGATGATGATGCTGCTACTAATGCTGCTGATGATGATGCTGTTGCTACTAATACTTCTGATGATGATGCTGCTGCTACTAATGCTTCTGCTGCTGATGATGATGATGCTGCTGCTACTAATGCTTCTGCTGCTGCTGCTACTAATGCTTCTGATGATGATGCTGCTACTAATGCTTCTGATGTTGCTGCTGCTACTACTAATGCTTCTGCTGCTGATGCTTCTGATGATGCTGCTGCTACTAATGCTTCTGCTGCTGCTACTAATGCTTCTGATGATGCTGCTCCTACTAATGCTTCTGATGCTGCTGATGATGGTGCTGCTGCTACTACTAATGCTTCTGCTGCTGCTACTAATGCTGCTGATGATGTTGCTGCTGCTAATGCTTCTGCTGCTACTGCTGATGATGATGCTGCTGCTACTAATGCTTCTGATGCTGCTGATGATGATGATGCTGCTACTAATACTAATGCTTCTGATGCTGCTGATGATGATGCTGCTGCTACTGATGCTTTTGCTGCTGCTGATGATAATGCTGCTGCTACTAATGCTTCTGATGCTGCTGCTGCTGATGCTGCTGCTACTAATGCTTCTGATGCTGCTGATGATGATGCTGTTGCTACTAATGCTTTTGATGATGATGATGCTGCTGCTACTAATGCTTCTGCTGCTGCTGATGATGATGCTGCTGCTGCTACTAATGCTGCTTCATCATGATGCTGCTACTAATGCTTCTGCTGCTGTTGTTGATGATGATGATTGTTGATGATGATGATGCTGCTGCTACTAATGCTTCTGAGATGCTGCTACTAATGCTGCTGATGATGTTGCTGCTGCTAATGCTTCTGCTGCTACTGCTGATGATGATGCTGCTGCTACTAATGCTTCTGATGCTGCTGATGATGATGATGCTGCTACTAATACTAATGCTTCTGATGCTGCTGATGATGATGCTGCTGCTACTGATGCTTCTGCTGCTGCTGCTGATGATAATGCTGCTGCTACTAATGCTTCTGATGCTGCTGCTGCTGATGCTGCTGCTACTAATGCTTCTGATGCTGCTGATGATGATGCTGTTGCTACTAATGCTGCTGATGATGATGCTGCTGCTACTAATGCTTCTGCTGCTGATGTTGATGCTGCTGTGGATGCTGATAATAAAAACAATATAAAATAAGTGTTTCCGTATCGTTATTAGCAATTGACACACTGATCGACAGACAAAAAACTCATTTAGCCTATTGATGTACGTCATTTTTTTAGGAAATGGAGGTGCATCTACAACTCAAACGTCTGTATGGCTGATATTCATGATAATGGCTGCAAATTCCATAGGCATACAAATGCAGCGACTCTGAAAATGACAAGTGATATGTTGTCCAGTCTGCGTTTGAGTACCAACAAACAATGTCTGCAATGAACGTTGGTGTGAAACCAAAGAAGTGTACATCCTTGAATATGTCGGGTCACAGCAGTAACAATAAAACTTGGCGCTCCTACAAACATTTCTCTCCTGAGTCTGCATCAAACTTGATGTGACCATTTTCTTAATCACAAACACCACTTGCCAACAAGCTCTGCGACAGGGAAATATATTACCGCATTTCATAATAATGGATAAACTTGGCGACACTTAATCAAAATCATATTATTTCAAAGTGCTTTGATATTTCGTGGTATTATCTGTAATGAGAAACTGTTATAAACAAACAAATTTCTCTTGAAATTAATATTTTTAAGCAATCCTCACAATAAAATTAAAACTCGTAATTTAATAAATAGCAACAGTCACATTTTAAGGAGTTTTTTCACCTACCAGTTTTTTTAAAATTATGATTTTTTTTACGAGTTAAACACGCGTAACACGAGTTGAGTACGAACTTTCTCAGAGCAAAGTACTGTCCCGATTCAGCTAAGAGTTTTTATACTACTAGTAGTATTTCAACTCATAGCGAGTTGTTAGCCTCTAGAAGTATTTCAAAAAAACTTAGCGAGAGCTGATTTTCAGGGGATTGATTAGCATTAAAATATTGAGTAAGTGGGGTTTTTCTATATAATTTATAACTAAAACTTGAAGAGATAGAAAGAGGGAGGCAAGTAGGCGCATAAGCTTTGCAATTTCATTTTATTTTTTGTGAACCAAAGAAAGTTGTTAACCGTAGATTCAGAATTATTTTTCTACGAGGCCGTATCTTGAACAGAGAAAATGCTGAGAGAAAATAACATGACACAATAGATAAAAACGATCAGACAGTATGAATATATTAAAACCAAAAGGGAGTAATATTTGATATTATGATTATATAAATTGCGTTCATATATTATAAAATCGTAACATTTATGTTTACTGTGCTTTACATAAGATTTATACCAGAGTGTACCACCAAAATATGAAAAAAAAAATTTTCAGGTACAATATATTAAGATGATAATAATGTTAGAGAAAAACGCATTGTCCCCAATGGGATTTGAACCCAAGACTTTCGTATTACAGTCCGGGCACTCTACCTACGGATGGAGCTATGAACCCAAGTGGTACACCCTATGATTTTCCCATTAGGACACGTTTTATCTCAAGGTATTGCGCAATACGCAATAATTACTGTATTATGTATTGTCATACCATGTAATACATATATTTAAGATACTAACGTTACGATATAATATTAACATGAAGCTGTGAAATACACTAACCTATTTCGACAAGTATAAGATTAAAACAGATGTAAAATTGTATACAGTACTTTCTCGATGATGGTTATATTTGTGTCTCGAGATGTAATACATTTGTACAGTGGCGAATTAAAGAGGGGTAGCTTTCAAGTGGGAAGCTTCCCGGCTGTCTCTTATACACATCTATGATGCTGTTAAGGTGTGTTCCTGGCACCCCCCCCTCTACAATTCTTTAATCCACCACAGGGTATTCGCTGTATGATGTACACGTGCATATGAAATAAAAATAAGAACAATATTATTTTGCTAGACAAATGCTTTAATGATGTGTTAAAAAGTATACATATAAAGTACAGTACATATAACAGGGATACATTCCATACATGTATGACACTACGTTGTGTAATAAATTAAATATATTTTTTAACAATATTTATAGAAAATCTCTCAATTACATTGCACTCAAATTCCATTCTTTATATAGCTACAAATCAATTTACAAAATAAAATGTTAAAAAGTAGACAAAAGATGATAAGGGCCTTCATGAAACTCTAGGAGCTTTTAAAATAAAGACCTGGATGTACAGTGGTACAATTGTTTAACATAATAAAAAACACAAATTCACTATCTTAAAAAATTCTACCATTCCTTCGGACCACCTTCAAGGTATATTCCTTGATTTTGGTTCCATCTATTCATTATAAAAACCAGTGTTCACACCCTATAACGGAAGCTGTAGTCCCTATAGCCTGAGGTTCTAAAAAACGAAGGCCTGTTTGTGTCTGGCAGAAACAAAGTCAGGAGCAGTAACCAGGGGATGGACCCAGGATTAAAAAGAGGGGGGTTCAAAATGTTAAAAATAAAAAAACCAAAAATGAAAGGGGGGGAGGGTCCTCCCCCAGGAAAATTTAAAAACCATCTGACCTTTTTCAAGATCAGAGGGGTGGGGGGGGGGAACTTTGAAGAATTTAAAGGTCATTAAAAGACTCGGAAAAGCTCTTTTTTTTTTTTTTTTTTTCTAGCCAGATCATGAGAAATACTGTAATTTCTGGTTGAAGATGATTTCAAGAATGGAAACACAATCACACAATGTACATCCAATTCAAGAATCCAGCAACAATCATCTCTGGCCAGTAGATGATTTTAGCAGGCCCATAAGGGTGCATAAACTTAATCCTATAGTCACCCAACTCCAGCAAACCAATCCATGGGACATTATCGTAGCTGCAGCACACAACATTCTGAGGATTTATTTGTTCACTGAGTTTATAGACATGCATCTTTGTCAACGAAACAGGGACGAAACAATGGAACTGTAATGCTCCTTTGAAGGTCTGAGCGAGGTTGAATCTAGGTTCGAGTTCATTTTCACTACTAGCCACCTCATCTATTGGTACATTGCTTAGACCAAAGTTCTATCGTTTCGTTATCAAAGGTGCATAAATGGAAAAAAAAAAACATAATACGATAATAAAAAAAAAAACATAATGTGATACAATCAGCTTAGTCCTTTTATTATTTTAATGTAGTGAATTATGGCTTACATTTCCTGTTTATTAATTTTTTTCAAATTTTAAAGTTTATTGTACTTGTACTTGTTTTTATGCCATTTTTAATGAATTGTTTACTTTTGTATGTGTTGCTTCTATGACAAGTTTTTAAACTTTTTAACTTATGTAAAAATTGCTGCAATTCAGTGTTTCACTGCGTGTGTGAATTTGAATTAACGAAATTGAAAGAAATATCTATAAAACCAGTGAACAAATAAACCCTCCATGGTGACAGTTATAATCTGGTGGTATCCACTGTGTGTGCGCTGAACCATGGAGATCTCTAGGTCCCCGGTTCAATTCCCATCACTGCCTCTCCTGTGTTTCAGCTAGAGGGCTGAAATACAAGATACAATAGCGCACTGTCTTTCGGATGAGGCGTTTAAGCCGTTGGTCCTGTGTGCATTGATGGCCCATGTGCATGTTAAAGAACGCAGTACACTCTTCGGAAAAGAGTAGGGGATTGTCTCCTGGTGTACTGCCCAATCACCACCAGAAGGACCCCACTGGAAATAAGTCTTCTTCTAGTCTTTCGTGGGCTATCCTTATATGGGTCAAAAGGTCATCCAACAATAAAGTACCCAAATGCACAGAAAAATGCCAGATTAAGATTCCTTATCCTCTCTTCTTTACAAAAATTGAGTACTGTACCTTGTTTTTAAAAATCAGACCAGTGGTTGCCGAGTTACAGCAATTTGAAATTTGGCAGGCAAGCCTTTTTCGCGAAAAAGTGAAAAAATGAAATTGTGATATCTCGAAAACCATTGGTCCAATAAAGTTAAAATTGGGAATTTTGGCTTTTCTGGCTATGAATTACCTATATTGCAAATTTCATCAAAATTGGGTGAACTGAAATTGACTGACCCCACCTAACACTTCCAGGCAAAGGCCACATATTTCTGTGTACAGGTAGAACTATCTGTGTTTCAATATAAAAATAGGTCGTGGGGTAAGTTGTTACGGGTAAGTTGTGACTGTTGCACTTATAGGAGGTGCACTTTACATGTGTGATCATTGTATAGAAGATGAAATTAACATCTCCAACATAGAACAGATTTGCTGGAGTTAAAGTGCGTTGCAGTGGGGTCTTACAGATAGTATAATGGTATAATAATGTTGTTGGTATCTCCTTTATGTAGTTTAATGTATGTTGGTCTGCATAACATTTTATCGTATTTGGACAACAGAACAATTTACCCCACATGGTGTGTAACAATGTACCCTGGAAAAGGGGTAATTTGTTGCAGTTGATCTACTTCATTAATTAATGATTAATGATTAATTAACAGATTGATATATGACAGTTGTAATTGCTTAGTTTTATAACTAATACACTGTTCTTGCCTTAGAAAAGAGATGGTGTGTTTATCTCATTCAATTACGTAATTAAGGAACAATATTTAAATTTTGTAACAACTGACACCTGTCTCCCCCTAATATCATTCAAAATATTTTAAATTTTTCAATAAAATAAGAGACAGCCAACAGATGCACTGATGTCTGAATAACATAAAATAAATGTTACTCCAAATAATGAAAGGAAGGTCATGGTTCAACATTCCCACATTAATGATACAGATTATGGGATAAATCATCATTACAGCTTATAGTTTAATAATAGACAACAAACCTACTGTAACAGTTCTGAATGATTGTGTTTAATTAAATACTGTATGTCATCTTTTCACAGATAATTCTTCAATATTCAGTTGCATCTGTAGATGATAAACAAATCCAAATTTATAAAATTAATCATTTATATTTATCATCATCTATCGGCATCACAGTTTATCATCATCTATTATCGTCACCACCCTCACCATCACTTCATCTTCATCATCATCATCATCATCATCATCATCATTATTATCTGTTATCTATCCTTAACTACTATCATTATCATCATCGTCATCATCATCATCATCATCATTTTTATCATCATCATTATCTGTCTATTATTTATTATCGTCATTCATTATCTATCATCAATATCATCTATTATCATCAATCATTATTATTATCATCACCACCATCTATCATCAATCATAAACTCATAATTACCATCAATCATTATCACTATGAGCCTCAGTTGCCATTGTTGCTGGACTTTTAACAACAAACACCAATCATTTATTAGCTATATACTGTATTGTAACTCTGTGTAACTACAGTCACTTGAAATGCAATGAAACTTTAAAAATACTTAGCTTCAATGGTAACACTGGACATGTTATACTTGCACAAATGTGAGGTCTAATAAAGTATGGGTAAACATGTACACATACATATAATGTATTTAACTGTATGTACACATACACACCAG